GAGGAGGAGGGGAAGGAGGAGGAGGAGGACGAGGAGGAGGAGGAGGAGGAGGAGGAGGAGGAGGGGGAGGACTTCGGCACGCTCGCGTGGCGTGGCGTCGCGCGCGGGGCCTGCATGGCGGTATTTGTCATACGGCTGCGTGCGAGATGGTGGCACGGCGTGGCGGCGTGGACGTGCGGGCTCTGGGCGAGATTGCAAATGCGGGATGACGATTAATAAAACATGGGAGAGAACGATTCAAAACATAATTGCCTGCTGTTTCTGCACAGTTTTCTGACTGGAGGAGAACGATAACAATCGTCGTCCTGGGCGCCGCCGCGTCGTCGTCCTGGGCGCCGCCGCGTGAACACGACCCCTGGTCATTTATTAATCGTCACCCTCCATTCAAGCCGCACGGCTTGCTGCTGATTTTGAACAGAGTCGCGCGGGAAGGGCATTGGCAAGACCTGTCGTGCAACACCGACTGTATGCATCCGTGTGCTTCTGTTCGAAAGCCTGCCGCACTCGTGTGCTTGGTATGCTTTCGGCGTGTGCGCGCGCGTGTGGGCGTTGTGCCAGTTCTTGCACGGTAGATTGAGCAATCACCTTCTGCGATACAAGACTGTGCGCGCATGGGCTTTTTTGACAAGAGTGAAGGGGTGGGGCTGGGGGGGGGAGCAATACCCCGCTGGCCTTGAATGGTATGAGTTCATATGGAAAATGAGCGATGCGTCATCATCATGTGTAAGTTGCAATGTCCCGGGGGCTTCCATAAGCCCCGGGGGGAAAGGGTGGTAACGTCTTTTCTTCGCTTGAAAGGAGCGCCATCATTGTGCAGTCGAGGTGGTGCAATCCATGTGGCGCAATCTATGTGGTGCGGAGGCAAGGCGATGCGAAGCAATGCAAAGCAATGAAGAGACACGCAACCCACATTGAAACAAACAGTAGTTATCTGGGCAAAGGACCCAAACATATGCAATTGTGAATACCGTCGTTGCGGGTATCGCCTTCGGGGGATCTCCGCACCGGGCCACGAACAGTACGAAGGGTGTGCCAATACGGGGCGGGGCCGCCATGTGGGCGCTGCCACTGGTGGCACACGGATGACACACCATGAAATCGCGAACATGTGCGAGAGGTGCGCCGCATTGCGGCGGGGCCGCCACTGGGGCCTTCGGTGGAACTCCCTACGGGCCACGAAACGCTTTAACATATGGGGGAAACGCATGCGGACACCGCCACTGGGGCATTCCGTTGAGCCCCCTATTGGGCCACGAAGCGTTGTACTGGGCGGGGGGAACGCATGCGAGCCATGCAACTGGAGCCTTATGTGGAGCTCGCTATGGGGCCACGGTGCGCTGTACTGGGTGGAAAAACCGCATGCGAACCATGCCGCTGGGGCCTTCGGTGGGGCTCCCCATGGGGCCACGAACCGCTGTACTGGGTATTGGTGTAACGCATGCGAACACCGCCGCTGGGGTCTTCGGTGGAGCTCTCCATGAGGCCACGAAGCGTTGCACTGGGTGGGGGAACGCATGCGGAGACCGCCACTGGAGCCTTCGTTGGAACTCGAGATGGGGAAACGAAGCGTTGCACTGGGTGGGGGAAACGTATGCGAACACCGCCACTGGGACCCTCGGTGGAGCTCCCCAGGGCCACGAAACGTTGCGCTGTCGACAAACGCGTTCCACCACGCGCAAAGCAGCTACTCGAAAATGGGCAAAATCCTCAGCGGGGGATTCACGCTCCATTACAACGGGGTCCTCCTTTTGAAAAGACGGTCCCCGCGTCCCTTCCTTCTTTCCTTCGTTCCTTCTTTCCTTCCTCCGCCCCCCCTCCCCCCTCCTCCCGTCACCCCCCTCTTCTTGGCACACCCCTCACACGTTTCGTGGCCCCATAGGGAGCTCCGCAGAATGCCCCAATGCCACCGTCCGCGCGCGTCACGCACACCATTCCGGCACACCACTCAAACATGTCGTGGCCCCACGAGGAGCTCCACCGAAGGCCCCAGTGGCACCGCCTGCGTGCGTCACGTACACCCATTCCGGCACACCCCTCACACGCTTCGTGGCCCCATAGGGAGCTCCACCGAAGGCCCCGGTGCCACCGCCCCAATGCGTCACGCACACACACAAACACACAAACACACAAACACACAAACACACAAACACACAAACACACAAACACACAAACACACACACAACACACACAACACACACACACCCACACAACACACACACACAACACACACAACACACACACACAACACACAACACACACAACACACAACACACAACACACACAACACACAACACACACAACACACACAACACAATCACAACACAATCACAACACACACACACAACACACACAACACACACAACACACACAACACACAACACGCACAACACACACAACACACACACAACACACACAACACACACACACAACACACACAACACACAACACACACACAGACACACACAGACACACACAGACACACACACAGACACACACACAGACACACACAGACACACACAGACACACACAGACACACACAGACACACACAGACACACACAGACACACACAGACACACACAGACACACACAGACACACACAGACACACACAGACACACACAGTCACACACAGACACACACAGACACACACAGACACACACAGACACACACACAGACACACACAGACACACACAGACACACACAGACACACACAGACACACAGACACACACAGACACACACAGACACACACAGACACACACAGGCACAGACACAGACACACACACATACACACACACACACGCACACACACAAACACACACACACACAAATTTCGGGACACGCCTCACACGTTTCGTGGCCCCACAGAAGGCCCCAATGCCACCGCCCCCATGCGTCACGCACACCCATTTCGGCACACCTCTCAAACGTTCGTGGCCCCAAAGGGAGCTCCACCGACGGCCCCAGTGCCACCGCCCACATGCGTCACGCACACTCATTCCGGCACACTCCTCTCACGTTCCGTAACCCCATAGGGAAGGCCCCAGTGACACCGCCCGCATGCGTCACGCACACCCATTCTCACACGTTTCGTGGCTCCACAAAGAGCTCCACCGAAGGCCCAAGGCCACCGCCCGCATGAGTCACGCACACCCGGCACACCCCTCACACGTGTCGTGGCCCCATAAGGAGCACCGCCAAATGCTCCACTGCGACCGCCCGCATGCGTCACGCGCACCCATTTCGGCACGTCATAGGGAAGAGGCCCTGGTGCCACCGCCCGCATGCGTCACGTACACCCATTTCGGGACACGCCTCAAACGTTTCGTGGCCCCATAGGGAGCTCCAACGAGGCCCCAGTGCCACCGCCCACATGCGTCACGCACACCCGTTTCGGCACACCCCGCACACGTTCCCTGGCCCCGTAGGGAGGGCCCCAGTCTGAGCGGGTTCTAATGGTTCTTGGAAAACGTCGTTGGGGAACGCGTCGCTGGCGAGTCGGAGCGCGTGTTTCACAGGGGCCCCGCTTCATGAAGGGATGGAGGGAGGGAGGTGGGGCGGGGGTTGGCAGTGGCGGTGGGGGGAGAAAAGGGTCGGGGGCAAGGACAGCGGCAGGGGCAGGCGGCCAGGGGGTTGTCCATAAACGATGATGAGAAGGCTGAGGACAAATGCCAGCGGCGACACGGCGAAACTGTGATGGCCGCAAGGAAAAAGCAGGATGGGAAGCAACGTGGCAATCCACAGGCGTGCTCGGATATCATCGTAGCACTGAACGCATCCAGGGGGAAGCCGATGGAAAAACGACCGTAGCAGGGAAGAAAACAAGGCCTTTGACACATAGAGAATGCAAAACACACGTCGGAAACGAAACGGAATGAGAGGCAGAAGGAGCAGGAACGCAATATGATGACAAACACCACGCAAAGAAAAACGCGAGGCACGCGAGCTCAGAACAAGGACGGCGTAGGACTAACAGGTGAGCATGGAAGTAAATGAAGGGGCATGTGTAAGGCCATTGCATAGATCGCGGGAACGCGTGCTCCCCAACTTCGACCAACGCTGCGTCGATGCCCCCCTTCCTTCACGGAGGGGGTCCTCAACGCTGGTGCAAGGACCCCTTCCCTCACGGACAGGGGGAAAGGCTCGCTCATTTTAGCCCTTGGACTACGTCCTGCGGCGGCCCCCCTCTGCCGAATCCTCCTCCTGCTGCTCCTCATCCCACTCATCTCCTCCTCCCCCATCCCCGGCCCACTCCTCCGCCGCCCTCCTGCTCCACCTGCTCCTCCCCCCGATTCTCCTCGGCCTCCTCGGCCTCCTCGTCCTCCTCTCGTCCCGCCCCCGCCCCTGCCCCTCGCACCCTGCCCCTTTCCGTCCCTCGACCCTTGCCTCGTACCCCAGATCTCCGACGCCTTGAATTTTGGGAGGCGTCGCTCCCGCTTCCCCGGGAGCAGTTTCTCATCCCCGGTGGCTCTTCGGCAGGGAAAGAACGCGTAGACAATCCGTGGTGCTTCTTGACGCCAGGAGGGGTGGGGGACCTGCCAGAGAGGAAGGGCAACAAAAAGCGCGGGACCAGCGTTGACATATATATTATATATACATATATATATATATTTAATATATATATATATATATATATATAGAGAGAGAGAGGCTGGGAGAGGCTGCTGGGCTTCGAGGCCCTTGGAAACGGGTGCCCTCGGGCCCAGGGGAAGCTGCAGGGTGCCTTCAGGAGGCGAATGGTCTCGCAAGGGGTTCCCGGGGAGGCCTTGAGGTGCCGCCTGAGGCCTCGCCGTTGTCGCCATATCCACCATAGTTGCCATTCGCCATGATCGCCATCGTCGTCGTCGTCGTCGTCGTCGTCGTCGTCGTTGTCGCCGTCGTCGTCGTCGTCGTCGTCGTCGTCGTCGTCGTCGTCGTCATCGGCGTCGCTGGCGTCGTCGTCTGCACAGGCAGACCTTCCCTGCTGCCCGTCCGCGGCCGCGCCGCGCCCGCTGGGCCCCGGGCGCTCTTCGAGCCCTTGGTGCAGAGGACGAGGATCTTCCTCCCGAAGTTCTGGCGCGGTGCACGCGCGACCCTCGTCGCTCACCGCCGACTGAATCGAGGAGGAGGAGCAGGAGGAGGAGGAGGAGGAGGAGGATGAGGATGAGGAGGAGGAGGGGGAGGAAGGAGGGGGAGGAGGGGAGGAGGAGGAGGAGGAGGAGGAGGGAGGAGGGAGGAGGGAGGATGGGAGGAGGGAGGAGGGAGGAGGCGAGGAGGAGGAGGGGAGGAGGAGGTGGAGGAGGAGAGGAGGAGGAGGAGGAGGTAGGGAGGAGGGAGGAGGAGGAGGAGGAGAGGAGGAGGAGGAGGAGGAGGATGGAGGAGGAGGTAGGAGGAGGAGAGGAGGAGGAGAGGAGGAGGAGGAGGAGGGAGGAGGGAGAGGAGGAGGCGGAGGAGGTTGAGGAGGAGGTGGAGGAGGAGGAGGAGGAGGAGGAGGAGGGGTGGAGGGGTAGGAGGAGGAAGGAGGAGGAGGAGGAGGAGGAGGAGGGATTCCAGTCTGGCCGCTGCTGCTCCCCGCTGCTCTCTCTCCTCTCGCGGTGCGGCAGCTGCCGCGGATGCCGCGCTCCTGCACGTGCCCGCCGCGCCGCCCTGCCCCCCCCCCCCCTCCCCCACCCCCCCGCGCCATCGCCTGAGCCCTTGAGCACCTCCCTCCCAGCTGCCCTCCCTGCCCTCGCCACCCCCCCGGCCCCCCGGTCTTGCGCGGGGGCTCCGCTGCAAGCTTGATAGCAGGTGTCGGCTTGCCCTCGGTGACCCAGTCGTCCACAGGCTCGGTGATGGCCACGAACCTGGAGACTGAAAGGAAGCAAAACGCACGCACACACACATTCACATTCACACATTCACATACACAAACACACACAAACACACACACATACATACACGTGTTGTTCGTCGGCGGCGAGGCTGTGGTTGCAGCACCAACGAAAGGGCACACACACGTACACACACGCACACATAGACACATAGACACACACACACACACGCACACCTCGAATACATCCTCCACAAAATGGGCCCGGCCAAGGCACATCTCAGAGACTTTACCTAACAGCCTGCGACGGGCAGAGTCGACGACCGCTGTGCGAAATGCCGAACTCTGCCCACCTGTAATAATCAGATACGAGCGCTCTAGTGGGATGATGCAAGGCAAGGAAGAAGAGGTAATGTGCCAGGAAGGAAGGAAGGGCATATCATCATTTGATTATGGGCTGGAGAGCGGAAGGGGTGTCTCCATCATCCTCGCCAGTTACCTCGCTCCACACTCCACCACCCCATTATTACCCATCAGCCCCGTCTTCCACATTCCAGCCAGCCTCATCCGCCCCTTCATCCACCTGATCGTCCCTCTTCTCTTCCTCATGATCCTGGTTTTTCGCACAACGCCAATTGTTCAATCTTTTGAATGAAGAGGACCATCTAACATAGTATGCGAACCACGTCGACTGTCTTTCAAGCCCCTCTTCCAACGTCGCCTCTTACGACGTCCGTGCTGCATGAGTTGGGGAGCAGAGGAACACACTGCGAACGATACGGTGCAAACTTGATGCACTTGCTGAGGAGGCTGTCGCTGCTGCTGCGACTCCCCTTCCCTGGGGCCAGCACCATTGGCACTTCTCGTAATTCCGGATACTCCGTGATACTTAGTGGAAGAAACATCGGGGATGGACAGACCCCCCTTTAGTAAAACGTGTTTTAATGAAAACGACCTCCGGCCCAAACCTGGCGGGCGCAGGCCTGGAAAATAATGGCCGCGGCGCCCTCTCGAGAACCGAAAACGGACAAGTCACTAATCGACGTGTCACTGTTGGGGGTTCTGTCCTCCCCCGAAAACATCTGGATGAACATGAACATTCGACGGTCCGCGCGCATTTTCTGGAACCGCGCCGGTCCGCGCGCATATTTCCTGGAACCGCACTTCTTGGAAAAAAAGGGGCTTCGTTCCTTATCTATTGTTCCATATAGGTCAGGCCGAGAACTGTACTCCGTGACACTCCGTGGAAGAAACCACTGAGGAGGAGGAGGAGGAGGAGGAGGAGGAGGAGGAGGAGGAGGAGGGAGGAGGAGGAAGAGGAGGAGGAGGAGGAGGAGGAGGCGGAGGAGGAGGGACCGCGCCAGAGGCCCCCCTCTTCCGAGCGCGCGGAGCGCGCCAGGGACCCCCGCGCTGGCAGCGCCGCGCTCCGGGGGGGCCCCCGGCGCAGCTCCAGGCAGCAAGCCGCCCGCACCGGCGGCAGTTCGTGCTTACAGTCGGGGCGTGGACCTAAGGAACCCCAAATAAGGAACGAAGCCCCTTTTTCCCATCAGTGAAAGTTCGACTCCCCATGGAAAACGCCCCAGCGCAGATCCGGGCAATTCGCCCGCACCGGCGGCAGTTCGTGCTTACAGTCGGGGCGTTGACCTAAGGAACCCCAAATAAGGAACGAAGCCCCTTTTTCCCATCAGTGAAAGTTCGACTCCCCTATGGAAGACCAAAGGAAAACCCAAGGCTTGCAGTCGGGGCGTTGACCTTCCTTCCTTCCGAGTCGTACACCAGGCGGTGCGTGGACAGACAGAGCGCGGAAAAGGCAACAGACAAAACACTTGGAGAATCACAATGAGAGAATGTGATGGCGCAGCGTGCGCTTCCAGCCCGGGGCGTTGGCCTAAGGAACCCAAAGAAGGAACGAAGCCCCTTTTTCCCATCAGTTAAAGTTCGACTCCCCATGGAAAACGCCCCAGCGCAGATCCAGGCAATCCGCCCGCACCGGCGACAGTTCGTGCTTACAGTCGGGGCGTTGACCTAAGGAGCCCTAGATAAGGAACGAAGCCCCTTTTTCCCATCAGTTATTAAAGTTCGACTCCCCTATGGAAAACCAAAGGAAAACCCTTCCTTCCTTCCTTCCTTCCGAGTCGTACACCAGGCGGTGCGTGGACAGACAGAGCGCGGAAAAGGCAACAGACAAAACACTTGGAGAATCACAGTGAGAGAATGTGATGGCGCAGCGTGCGCTTCCAGCCCGGGGCGTTGACCTAAGGAACCCCAAATAAGGAACGAGGCCCCTTTTTCCCATCAGTGAAAGTTCGACTCCCCCATGGAAAACCAAAAAGGAAAACCCAAGGCAAACTGTGAAGCCATCGAGGAACACCGAGCCCCTCCCAAACGAAAAGGGTTCCTTCTTCAGCGCCCCGACTGTATGCTGTTTGTCCTTCTTCGATGCTCGTACCCATCCAGTTGCACGCCTGCCCTGCCAGACTGTTTCGAGTGGGCGCGGCCGACTTTTTACACCGCGTTGCCCTCTTTCGGGGAAACCGCGCTGATATAAATCTTCAGAACAATATTGGCCACTGGGTGCAGAGACCAAATATGGAAGGCGTTCCGACAGCCAAGCCGAACGTCTCTAACGAAGATAATTTCGAATGAAGATAAATCGAATCTCTGAGATTTGGCGGCTCTGGAAGATGTATCGGGCGTCCCGGTTTTTCAGAGCGTTCCCGAAGGCTCTGAGAGGGTTCCGGATCGCTCTGAGAACGGACTTAGTTATCTTCGTCCTCGATTCGAAATCTCTGGACGTGTGAGGCGGGACTGTTGCTACGGGCTGACGCCTAACAGCCAGGCGGTCGTTGTGAGTCAGCATGGCCGCTGTCTGGAATTGAACAGAGTTGCTACGACATCGGTCACCAAACCTTGCGCATCGCACCCCGCGATGTGCAACGCGCGGTCATCTTCGCGCCGCCTCCTGGGGAACGGCACGCTTGCGGCCCAGAAGGCAACTGCCGTGGTCTTGCTCTCTGCCCCGGGGAAGACTTTCCTCCTCCCTCCCTCAGAGGGCAGAACATCCACCCATATAATAACCACCCCGACACGCGAGGCCTTCAGCAAACGCGCCCAAAGAAGGAATCGAACAGGGCAGGGCTGTTTCGTAAACGCCCAGGGCCGTTTAGGAAACGCCAACTGTCCGGTCTGGGTGCTTTCTCCTCCCTAGATCCCTCCTCCTCCTTGTACCCGCCCCCTCTCCGTCCTGCTTCGTCCACTCAGTCTCCGCTCTCCCCCTCCATCCTCCATCCCCCCTCCACCCTCCTCTCTGCGCCCTCCACCTCGGCCATCCATCCATCCTCCCTCCCTCCTCCTCCCCCTGACTGCCTGCCCAAACCCTGGAGACCAAATGCCCGAGGTGCAACTGACGATGCACAGAGACGAGCAGAGGGGCAGGGGAAAGGGAGGCGACCCTGCCCCCGAACCCTTTCAGGGAGAGCCCAAAAGCGAGCGGGAGCCCCGACGCCTGGTCGCGGCCGCCCGCCCAGCGGTGCCATGCCTCCTCACCCTCGGGTACCGGTGCTGCTGCTCCCCGGACCTCTCCCGGAGAACGCTCTGACTAGGACTTCGAGGCGAAACCAGCGATGGCGACGAGGGCCTCCCAGGCGGCCCCACCCAAGGGGTCAACGGGCGAAGGGCAGCGGAGTGTGTGCCTTGTTCCTCCCCCGAGGCCCTCCCCCGCCCGCTCCCTGCGTTCCCTGCCGCCGCTTCCGCGGCCCAGGGGACGTCCCCTGGACGGCCGC